CCACCCCCCCCCCCGCCTCAGTTTCTATACTGAGCATGATGCCATATGGTATGGAATAGCCCTTTGGTCAGTTTGGATCAACTATTCTGGCTGTGCCCCCTCCCAGTTTCTTGTGCACCTGGCAGAGCAAGGGAAGCTGAAAAGTCCTTGACTAGCATAAGGAGTACTGAGCAACAACTAAAACATCAGTGTGTTATCAACATTATTCTCATACTAAATCCAAAACACAGCACTATGCCTGCTACTAGGAAGAAAATTAACTCCATCCCAGCCGAAACCAGGACAACTCAAAAGAATGAAAATTGGAAATCCCTCCCAGAGACGATTATTTGGTTCTGCTACACTTAAAGCACCTAGCGCTGCCGCTTCAGGAGGCCACGTCTCCTTGTTGTGGAGGAGAAAGTGGGACATATGCTGGTAGTGACCTGTCATCCCCTTTCCCATCAGCTCAGGAGCTGTTTGTTGTCACTCTGACCTTAGGAAGGGGGCATCATTAAGCTAAATATGGGTTAGGACAGCTTGGCTGGTGTTACTGTGGGCTACCTTCTTCCGGATCACAAGCAAAGTGTTTCCTAGCTTATAAAACCACTGGGATGAAAATGCTGTCGAGAAACACACTGTCCACGTGTGATTTCTTTTAGAAACCCACAGGACTAGACATACGAAAATAAAAGCAAAGAGGCCAAAAAATGTGTGGCCAAAAAAATGCCCCAGGCCGCTTCGTAAGCACACTTGCATTTACTGCCAAGTAGAGGCTCTAGCTACCAAGGGCGGCATCACGTACGCCTGCATATGTCAGCAGCTTTAACTGTAACCCAGAGTTCACAGTGGACCAGGTGACAGAAGGGAAAATAAACATAGTTGAAAGTCACAGGCTCCTTTCTCTGGGGGCTGCTTGAGCCCCTGCTACAGGAGTGCTGCTGCCTTGCAGGCTCTGATCTTTGGGGTGGGCAGGGAGGGTTTTTCATCAGCTGGAATTGGTTTCATTCCCAAACACACCTCAGATCTGGTGCTTTAAAGTCTCACAAACTCCCTGGCTATCGGGGCTGTTCACAGACTTTAAACTGAGCACCTGCTTAGGAGCTTTGTGTGATCTCGCCTGCCTGGCAGAACAGCAGCTCCTTTCCCAGACCAGCGCTGCTGGAGCAGTTCAGGCCAGGGAGCTGCTCCGGCCACCGGCGCTGAAGCTCTGCCGTACTTGCAGGGTCTGCCAAACGCGATTTGGGGATCAGAAGCAGCTGAGATCTTTATGGGTCATTGTCCTGTCTCCTCACGGGGACATCGCTCCTCACAGTGTAGCTGCGGTCCTGAACCTCGTGCTGGCCTACCTGGGCCATCTCATTTGGTATGCTCTGTCCATGGCTCTTCCAAGCCCACGACCCACCTGCTCTTGCCAGAGCCATGAGGTCTGGCACGTTGTAACACTAGTGAATTTGGTGTCCTCTTGCTGCCATTCACGTGGAGCATAGGCTCGGGATACTCCTGCAAAATTGGTTTTGCTTGGAGGCTGTTGACAGTCTGAAACAAACCCCAGATCTGCGGAATGCTAGACCTCCAAGTGTACTGTAGCAGAGATGCCTCGCCTGACTCTAAATGATCCCATTTGTCTACCTGAGCCACACTAGCCATGATGACCTGGAGCTCAGTGCAGGCTGATAGTGAATTCAACCATGTAGCTAATGGAGTTACGTGCTTCCAGGTCCTGAAGCTGCAGCTTACCTTGAGGTCTCTGTACAGCATTGCGGTGTAGACATACAGAAGCTGAGACATTTATTTGGGAAGGAGAAGTCTGTTTAATTTGGGCCTGCCCTAATTGCTGGCATGAAGTCCTTAATTGTGTCATTAAACTATAAAGATCATCAATATGCTTTGATCTGGCAAATAAAGATGCCTTGTGTTCAGGATGAGTCACAAATCTGTGAGTCAGGAGAAGTGAATAGATCACAAGAAATGGCAATAAATGAATAGATCGGAGAGCACAGCATTTTGATGTTGCTAATCAAATTGTCTAAAAGGATTGAAGTGCTGCAAGGCTTTGATGGGTAATCCATGACATCTTTTTAACTAATATTTTGTTTTTCCTCTTTCTATACACAGACAACATTTCCTGTGACTCCATCGCTTGCAACAAGCCCCACGATGGCTTTTAGTCCCTACCTGAGTCATGTTTCTCCTGGGATGGGCTTGGTTCCTGCAGAGCTTTTACCAAATACTCCTGTCCTGGTTTCTGGAAATCCTACTGTTACAGTACCAGGAGGCTCTGCTGGGCAGAAACTGATGCGTACGGATAAACTGGAGGTATTTGGACGTCTGATATGATACTGCTGACGGGAACGAACAGGGCATGTGGGCCCAGCTGTTGCTGTCTGCTAGAATGACCTGATGTAGCACAGTGCAGAGTTTAACCTGCAGCTTTTTTAATACAGGGCTGCTGTTTTCTGCTTGAGCAAACTCTCATGTGGGGCCTGATCCCAAATCCTTGGAAGTCACTGGAAATTTGGGAGCAGTCACTCTTCTGATTTCAGTGGGCATTAGTGCAGGGCTGGGATTGTTGGTTTTTGTTTGTGATCTGCCACGCTTTAAAAATGCAAGTGGATGGTCTGCTATTTCACCGAGTTGAGCAGGAGATGTTTTGGAAGTAGCAGAAACTTCCCTTGTCGTGAGATAGGCTTACTGAGCTTTTACAGAAAGCTTTAAGCATTACACTGTTGGGAGTGCTGGGTACAGAGCATTGGAAAGACATCTCCTCCCCTCCTCAGTTGGCTGGGCACGCTGGGACTTAGTGTTGGAGTCTTTCGAACCCTAAGCAGAGGCTCTGCAGGAGATGAGGGCTGAGGACCTGAATTCAGAGGCCCCTGCAGGTGTAAATTATAACATAGGAAGGTAGTGGAGAAGCATGTAATTTCAAAACACATTGTTTTGTGTTATGTACTTTATATTGCCTTGCTGATTGCTTCTGTTCTCACATGACATCTCACCTTTCCCCACACTCAGTCCGATAGTGCACTGGTACATGATCTACACTACCAGCTATAGTCCTCAACAGCTTCTCTTAGTTCCTCAGACAAGGAAACCTTGCGGATCCATTTTGTGAAACCCTTTTCTCTGCCTTTGATGCTTCAGTGCTCATAACTTATGAAGATGTGCAAGATTTTTGTAAAGCTAGCAATTTTAGTGACACCTTACGAACACATTGCAGTGTAATCAAATGCACTGTCCTGTAACCCCAGGGTTAGAGTTTTATTGTGGACGGCAGTGAGACTATTTCTGTGACAGAGGCTCCTCATATTTAAGAAAAGGTACTTGTTGCAAATAACACCAGCATGCAACATTTAGAATTTAAATGTCCTGCCCAGGAGTGTGCTCCGTAACAAATACATAATCCAGCTGAGACACAAATGGCAGAGTTATTAACATTTAAGCTTTAGAGGCAGGGGAGGAATCCTGAGCTCCAAAAGTTTTGGCAAAACGACATTGACTTCCTGGAGTCACTTTCCATTCTGGACAAATTCTGTACTTCACTTGCACTTGGTAATTGGCCTTAGTAACATTGTGGGTTTTTTTCAAACCCTGAACCAGTTGTGAGTAGCACCACTTGTCTCTGTGACTGTCGGTATATGTGTTACCCAAGATGAGCATGGATTTAGAATACATGCATAGTTTAATGTGGCCAACTGAACTAATATTCTGTGTTGAAAATACTGAATTAAGAGTAACTTATTGTCCTGCTCAACAATGTGACTTTCTTTTAAGGTTTGTCGAGAGTTTCAGCGTGGAAATTGCACACGTGGTGAGAATGATTGCCGCTATGCTCACCCTATAGATATTGCAATGATAGACACAAATGAAAATACTGTTACAGTTTGCATGGATTACATCAAAGGTCGATGCTCTAGGGAGAAATGCAAGTACTTTCATCCCCCTGCACACCTGCAAGCCAAAATCAAGGCAGCTCAACACCAGGTGAACCAGACAGCTGCAGCTGCAATGGTAAGTAGAGCTCTTCTCAAGCTGTATTGCCGTTGCGAACAGATTTCATTTGTGTCGTATGTGTTGTTTGTGGAAGAGTGCTTTGTAAATGGCTGACTAGAGAGCTGAGAGCATGTGCAACATGAATCCCATCTCTTCATCCTTTCTCTGTGCTTACCGTAGCATGAAGCCCTGAGTGGCACAGTACATCTCACCAGTTAGGGACACGGTGGTGAACCCTGTCATTTTCTGCTGTGACTTCATGAGGTGACATGAATGCAAGTACAGCAGCGAACACCTTTCCTGGCTAAGTCATAGGTTAGCTTAGCTTAGCTTCCTCGGTACACAATGAAAGCAAAGAATGCCCATCCCATAATACATCCTTTGCAGGGAGATGGTGGCCTGTTGAGGTCAGTAGCAAAATTTCCACTGTCTTCAAAGCAGACAAGGTATCAGTTGTTCAAGCCTAGCAAACTGAGCAGCCTTGTGCCTGATACCTTTGGCAAGGCTTAGTGAGATGACATGACTCAAACCAAAGGTGACTTCCTGACCTGTTTGATACTTAGGACCCAGTAGAGATGGTCCCACCTGCAATTTAATTTGAATTGTGACTTCTGCTACCTACAATTCTAAAAATAAGTCAAGCAAGACTTACCAGTTCAAATTCCTAGCTGGAGCAAACATTTGCCATTCTGTTGAATTCAGTTTAATGGCACCTGTTTATTCGAGAGGTGAGAGAGCTGGCATGTTCAGCCTGGGGAGGGAAGAGGTGGCTCAGAGGGATCTTACCCATGTGTATAAATTCCTGATGGGGGAAGTAAAGAAGATGGAGGCAGACTCTTCTCTGTGGTGCCCAGTGAAAGACAGGAGGCAGTGGATGCAAAATGAAATATCGGGAATTCCATTTAAACATAAGAAAAAACATCTTTATTGTGAGGATGATCAAACACTGCAACAGGTTGCTCCATCCTTGGAGATATTCAAAACCTGCCTGGATGCTGTCCTGAGCAAGCTTGCTCTAGTTGACCCTCCTTTGAGCAGAGTGTTGGAGTAGATGATCTCCAGAGGTCCCTTCCGACCTCATCCATTCTGTGATTTTTTTTTTTCGTATAACTAATATTAAAAAAGTTCTTGTTGCCTTTTTGATTTACAAGTAAGGCTACTAAAATTTTTCTAAATACTTTTTTTAAAGACAGTAAAAGAGGTTGCTTTCCATTCATGGTGGAAAGTAACACAAAACCGAGAAGATTCTAGAAATTAAACGACTGCCCTCGTTGTAGCATCAGTATTACCTGAAATGTAATTTGAATAACCAGTTTATACTGCAGTATTTAGTTGTCCTGCACAGTTTGTTTATTAGATTTCTTACTATACTTATTATTGTTGAAACAACAGCCCAGGTCTGTTGAAAAAGAACCTTCTGAAATTAAAATCTTGTGTTTTTTTACAATTAAATCTTTACTTTTTCGCTAATTACCTAGGACACTGCTACTTAACCAAAGCCAGTGCATGTTTTATTCATGCTGCTGGCTTCTCTTAAAAATATAATTAACCTTATTGTATGCTGTTAACTAGAGCCTTTAAAATATTTATTGATAGCTTGTTGCATCACCCCTGCTACCAAAACAGCTTACATTATTCATTGACTTTTCAAGGTTTGATGCATTTACTGTACCTGTTGAGAAACAAGACTTTAATAAAGGGAAGAATGGTGCCCAGTTTTCTTGGATCAGAAAACATATGCCAGACAAATGGGTGTACCTTCTAAAATAGATTTGGAATGACTTCAAATCTAAATTCAGAAGATATTTCTGAGGGACCCAATCTTGCAGTTACTTGACATGCACAAGTAGTAGCTTTACTCACTCCTGCTTGGCTGAAGTCTGTGCAGCACAGTCCAATGAGCTGCGTCAGGCTCAGTACCCAGTTTAGGATGGCACTTAAGCATGTGCTTGAACCTCCCTTCTTTACCTCCTTCCCTTGCCACAAGCGCTCCTGCTGGCCTCCGCATGGCATGTAGTGGCAGAATTAAGGCTGAAGCCCAGTGCAAGTCCACCTGCAGGTGCTAATCCCCACGCGCTCCTCACCCACTGTGCCAACTGCAGTGAAGATGCTCTAGAGCAGGTGTCCCATGATGGTATTTCTTTACCTTTGAAATTTACTGAGGCAAAATAGCTGACTAGCCGCTAGGCCAAATAATTACTCAGCCACCCCACATTGTGTATGCCTCATCTTTTTAATATATATTGTATAATGCATTCATTTTTTTTTTTCTCTTCGCCCCCCCCCAAATGTTGCTCTCTCTTGACACACCTCTGCTTGCTGTTTTTGTTACTGTGCTTGACCCCCCTCCCCGGCCCATTGCCATCATGTGCTCGCTGCCTGCTAATTAAGACTCAGCCAGCTGTCAGATCACTGAAGCGACCGCTCGAGGCAACCTTTGACCTGGTACTTGGACCTTTCACCTTCTCGCTTTGCACGTTACCATCTTAGTCTGCATGAAAGCCTTCTGCCCTTGGTCTGTTGTGTTAGTGCCTGGGGAGACTGCCCATCCCGGCCAGAAATGTTGCAGCGTCTGTTCAGACATGCCAGTCCTGCACCCTGCACACCAAGCATTAAGCGTCTGAGCTTTGCCTCCTGAAACCCAGATGCCTTTTGGAGGCAGTGAATAATATTGGGGGGAGGCAGCACTGGGGTTTGAGGTGTTTCTCCAAACAGCAGGAGCTTTGGAGTCGTGAGATGCGATGTTTTGGTGAGAATTGAACTCATTAGGTCTGCAGTGTGTTGGATATGCCAGAGGACTGGGTGGTGCAGGACAGATCCAGGAACTTTTCATGGTATGCCCAACAGCACAGCCTTGCCTGGCAGTGTCATGCTGGTACTGCCCTACAAAATGGTGTTCTGTGCAATGGGCACAGCACAAATTTAGGACCTCTCCAGTCCTGGCGGTTCCTGACATTAAAAGAAGCAGAGGGAGAGAGCTAAGCAGCATCCATAGAGATCTGTGCTGGGAACTGAAGTGGGTGCAGTGCAGGACTTTGGTTGTGTGTTCAGTAAGGCAGGGAGATGACTGCTGCTGCAGCTGGCTCTGTCTCTGGTTCCTCGCCCCATACCGCGGTGGGACAGTGTGTCAGCAAAGGGACCTCGCTGTGGGTGCCTTTTGCTTCAGGCACAGGATCTGCTCCCCAGGCTTCTGTCTGCAAGCTGTCTTCATATAAGCTTTGATTATTTTCTGAGCCTCAAATATGTTTTACCTGTCTTCGTGACACTCATAGTGAGGCAAAAGCCACCCTTCCTGGCTCCATAGAAGACAACTCTTTCC